CTTGAGCAGGAGCGGGACGACGGGTTCGACCCCTTCTCAGACAGCGACGAGGAGGAGGAGGATTCTGACGCGCGCCGGCGCGGCGGCGCCTGACGGGCGCGCCGCAAGCGGCGCTCTGCTGCACCCCTCGCGTTCGTGTCTTTGGAGCAGTGCCCCGTGCACGCGTTTCTGGGACAGGTGGAAAACGGCGGCTCGCCCGCCAGCCGCTCATGAGAGCGAGGTGCAGGAGCGGGCCGCCTGCACGTGCTGCTGCACCCCCTGTTGTTGTTGTGCTTTTGGGACCAGCGACGCTCCGCCGGGCCGCTGACGCCAACGCCTGCACTCGTGTCCTTTTGGGGAGGGGCAGGGGTGCGGCGCATGGTGCTAGCGGCGTGCGCGCCGCCACCATGCCTGCGCTCCCAATTCGCTGCATGCCGCATGGCGCGAAGCCATATGGCTTTTTGCGTGGGCTGCTACTGCTGTGTTTTGTTTGACTTAAGGCAGCCAAGTAGCATCGTGTGACCTGTATAACCAGACATGTATTACCAGACTCGACCGTATGTAATGCAAGTACAGCGTATGTTCTGGTGAAATGGCGATAAGATGCTTAGTTGTTGGTGTGACGCAACATCACATCAAGGGGCACAGCCATGCTGGAAAAACGCATTACTTTTGACAACAAAGAACTGTTCAGTATTTACAGAGACGGCTTTCCAGGCAGCGGCTTTGAAAATGTGGCAGCGGCGTGCGGCGCCCATGTTGGCGGCCAGGGCCGGCTCGGTGTTGCTCTTGAATGCAAGGCACCAACTATGCGCGCCTGGCTGCATCACTGTGACTGCCTCATTTTGTCTTGCACTTGAGCAGCATCTTTTTGGTGTCCTGGGGGGAACAGGTAACGTGGTCACGGCAGGGGGTGGCAGGGACGGTAAGAAAGAGCAGGGGGGGGGACTAGCCAGCTCAGCGGCGTACGCACGAGCAGCGACAGCAGCAAGCCAACCCGCGAGCGTGTGACCGCGGGGCCTCTGCTCCCAGCTGACGGCGCTGGCTTCATGCACTGCAGGGAGCTACATTGCCTGCTGCAGTCTAGGAGGGCCATGCAGCAGCACCCCGCGAGCCCGCCCGCACCTGTCCCAGGGCTGTGGCTATGGCCTGGTATGCCAGGACCAGGTCCTTGTACGTCTTGAGGGGGTCGGGCGCGGTCAGGATGGCATTGGCCTGCGAGGAGTGGACGGCATGGGGCGGGGGCGGGGAAGGGTGCGTGACTGGCGCAATGTTGTGAGTGATAGGAGCGGGGGTCTTTGCTTGGGCTGTGATACAGTATTGAGTGATTCACCGACCCACATGGTGTGTGCAATCTGTTGTTTAGAGGTGTGTTGATGACTACGGTATGCAGGCGGGCAGCAGCATGTGGATTACTGCAGCCACCCACGCCCTCTCGTCCTCAAGCCTCACCCACCCGCGCGACGAGGTCGGGGTTGGTGCGGGCGATGATGGGCTCCGCGGCGCGGAAGTAGGTGCGCGCCGCAGCCTGCTGCGCCAGGCGCAGGCAGGGCGAGCGGCAGGCGCCAGACTTCTTCAGTAGCCCCTTGGAGGCGGTCTTGGAGGCGTCGTAGGCGCTCCTGAGGCTGTACTGCAGGAAGCGTGCGACAAAAGCCTTCTCAATCGTCTGGTAGTGCGTGGCCAGGCCAGGCAGGTTGCCGGCTGCTGCAGCGGCGCTCGCGTTTGTGGAAGCGGTCACAGTTGCGCGGTTGACGGGCGAGAGCGGCTCCTTCTTGGAGGCGGAGAAGGTGCAGTAGAACTTGGCGATTGTGTTGGTGGTTTGGAAGAGGGTGGCGGGGTTTGCGGTGCCATTGGGGGCCTTGGGCGGCTTGGGGGCGGCGCTGTCCGCGGCTGTCAGGAGGGCCATCCCGTGCAGGATCTCCTCGGCTGGGGAAATTGTGCATGGGTCAGGGAGGACACAAAATGGGGGGAAGGTTAGGAGGGTGCTGAGTTTGGGGCCAGGATTGCAGCCGCGACCTAGGCACCAGCAATGTCAAAACCAGCGGGGTTACGCTTGACAGAGGCAGCTGAGCAAGCACTTCCTCCCAAATCATGCAAAAACACCCCAGCAGCCGTGGACCCGATCAGCTCACACGCCAGTAGCAGGCTGATGGGGCGGTCGTTGCAGCCAGTGGCGAAGCACTGGCCGGCGTTGACCTCGTGCATTGCATAGGCGCCTGAGAACCAGCGCGCCCCCGCAATTGCTACCTCGGCACGCACGCCGCAGCACGCCCCGGCGTAATCGCCGTCGCCGCGCAGGGCCGCACTGTAAGGTTGGGGTGTAGTGGATGGTTAGGATTTGGGGGGTTGAGAAGGCAAGGAACGCGACTGGCAAAGTGCCGCTGTTGAAGATTCATGTCTGTTAGGCTGTGCTGATGATGCCGTCGTGCCTGGGAAGCAAGGCCAGCATGTGGGTGCACTGCTAGTGTGGGGGAACTCCTGACTATTAGAGACCGCTCGTGGGGCGTGACAGGCCTGCATAGCGCCCGCTCTCATCTTGCAAGCCTGTGGTGGGCCGCAGCAGCTGTTGCTGGCCCCTCACAACAGGACGATACAATGACAAAACTCCCGCCCACCCAAACACGTCGTCGAGATAGAACTCCTTCTTGAAGTATGAGGATGAGAGGGCGTAGTAAGCCTCCTGGCTGTAATTACGCTTAGTCACGGAAACCCTGACGACGATGGCAAATGATGGTTGAAGCCACATCAAAACGTGGCAAACTGAATTTGCAGTGAGGCTGGACGCGGTCCAGCTTGCGACGTATTCAAGCAAGACAGCGGGCGGCGCCCTTCGGGCGGATGGAGCCTTACATGGTGCGCGGGGTGCCGTCATCGCGCTTTGCGATGCGGGCGTTGTTATAGATGTCCAGCGCGCCAGCAAAGTTGGCGTCCGGCTTGGCCAGCTCGGCCTGGTGTTGCGGGAGACAGCAGGCTGCGTTGAACAAGGCATGCACATGCTTGATGAATTGCTGCACTGGTTTGCAAGGCGTGTGAGCGACCTGTGGCGATGCAGCTGCGGGTTTTATTCAAGTCGCTGGCGCAGCTCTACCGAGCGTGCAAATGCACCTGCAACTGCCTATGTCGGGCACCTGGCATAGTCGCATGCTGCTGCTGACATGACATCCAGCAGCATCCCTGACCTCATGATGTCATCGTGACCCCTGCCGCCCCCACGCAGTGTTCGTCAACACACGTGCACCCGCGCACGCACGCACACACGCACACACACACACACACACACACACACGCGCGCGCGCGCGCGCGGGCGTGCGCGCGCACACGCATCACCTGGAGCAGTCGCACGTCCTGGGTCGTGTTGGCGTAGCCGCAGAGGTTCTCTTCGTACGCAACTCCAAACGCGCAGGAGCATGGCAGGGAGCACGGCTTCGAGGGCGCGGGGGACGGCGACGTTGATGGCTTGGGCGACGTCGAGGGTCCCTCTGGTACCCCGCCGTTGCTGCCTGGCAAGAAGCGGAGTCGGCAGGAAAAGGAGTTGACAGAGAAACTCAAAGATGCTAACTAATGGAAATAACTTTGCATATGGTGTTGGCAAGACAGCAAAGGATCAGTCACTCTCATCCCGCCGCCGGCCACCGTCCGCTGCCTCAAACACCCTACAACACCGGTTTGTGCCCGTCATCAGGAGCAACAACCGCCCGGGTGTGCGAGGCTCACAGCTGGCAGCCGTGCAGGTGGCGTCCACTGAAACATTGAGCGATGCCTGGTGGAACACGCCACCCCGGACAGCATACGTGGCGAACAGGCGCACGGGGCCAGCGTCAGCACCTGCAGGTTGGGAGGACGAGAACTCTTTTTGCCACATTTGAAGGTGCAACACAGAACTTGCAGCGTGACGCATGTGCTCGAGCGAGCGAGCAAAGCTATAAATGTTATTCCCCAAATTCAAATGTTGCTATTTATTGTGCTGTGACGCACTTTGATACATGATATTGGCAGTTACTGGGAAACTCACAACGCAACTGCCACACTCACAGCCAAGGGTCAGTATTGAGGTGTACGAGGTTGCGGCAAACGCAGTGGCGCGTTTGGTGCCACCATCGGAGCAAGTGGACACTATGTCGCCCAGGACCTTGTCGAATGAACCAGCGCTGGCTGTCAAGTATAGGTGGGGCTCCTGGGTTGCCAGAATGGGCAGGTTGACCTGCAAACAGAGGTGGCGATTGCAAGCAAGGACGGCTGGCTGAAGGCCGCAGTTTAGCAGCAGCCCAGGGATCAAGGCAGCCAATGATCGCAAATAAACATGGATGGATATAAAACAGAGATCACCTTGTGTTGAAACATTCCAAGTGCAGGCTATGCCATATGTAAGAGGCGACAGTGCGCGAAAGTGCCAAGCCAACCATACACACAAGACCCAATGCAACGCCTAGCCTCTGGCGCCTGTCACGCGCCTTGATGCTGTATCTCTTCCCCGGGCACAGTTGAGTAGTTGGGCTGCCGCCCTCTGCACTGACTGTGAAAAGTCCCAATGTGGCCGTTGAGTCAATGATTGGCCCCTCGTGCCCTGAGAACTCCCTGGACCCGTCTGGATGTGCACACCTGGGTGTGGGCAAGTTGTCGCCAGGATATCAGAGAGAGCATCACAATCTTGATTGGTGAGCAGCACGCAAACAGCAACGATGCGCCGACTATTCGCTTCTGTTGCTGCGAATTGGGCAGGGGGGCGGGGGCTGAAGAGCAGATGCACGTGCAGTGTGTGATCACGTGACGCATGAAAACTGCAGCTGCCAACAGCTGCCCTGGCCTGTAAAAGGTGACTCACGTGGTGCCAGCGTAGCTTTGCCACACATCTGTAACGCAAGTAGGAGAAGGGACCATCAGGTTTGTCGTGATGCATCGTGCTTTTTGTATTGACACGCTTGGTAGTTCTTGTGTGGTGCTTTGTGCGGTATGCTCTGCCCCGTGCCGCCTCGATGAAAATGGTGAAGCTGGGGCGGCAGCGACAATGTGTCCACCACAGCAGCAGCAGCAGCAGCAGCAGCAGCAGCAGCAGCGGCGGCGGCGGCGGCGGCGGCTGCAGCTGCGGCTGCAACGCCACCAGCAGCATTGCTGCCTTGGTGCGAGTTCTCGCTAGGGCGGCCAGGAGCGTGGCCCCGGCAAACGCCCGCTCCTCGTGATCGCCTACGGATGCAGCAAGTTTTTTGCAGCTGGTCCCTAACACGGGCTCACCTGGGTATGACAATGCGCTTCGCGCCGCGACAAGTGCCAGCGCCAAGCTGGACAGCACCCGGAATTGCATTTTCATGGCGGCGGCTGCTATTGTGTTGGGCGACGGATGCTGATGCAACTACGAGCAATGTAACTACCCTAGCGTGTCCTATTTGCAATTTCGCATTGCGTAAAATGATGATCGTCAGCCGGAGCGCGTGGAGGGCGCGTGCTGGGATCGAAGCGTGTGCCGGCCACGCTGGTCACCCAGCCACGACGCTTCGCACCGGGTCTCGCGTGTTGATACACGTCGGGGCTTAAGGAATTCTGAACCAGGGGGTTGCTTCTGCGCGTCTGGATTGCCGATGGGATGCATCTCACACGTCGGCAGTGAACTCGAGCAAAACCGCAGGGTTGACGAATCCAACGCAGCTATTATCGCAGCATGTGCTATTGAATGCACCATTCTTGCCAGAGCGTCCATCGCCCTCGTTGACCAAAGTTTGACTGGGCTGTTGCGTCATCGTGTGGTGCGCTGCACTGATACATATCTGGTGAACCTGAATCGAAATACAAATTGATCACCCCTGAAGTGATTTCCATGATTTACCCGTTGAAGCGGTGCCACGAGATTGCTCTCAGCAGCATGCTCGCTTGTCAAGTTTGCTACACATCACGCTGGCCGCGATACAAAAGGGTGCAGGGAGAACGTGCGGGGACCTTCCCGTGATTATTAGCAGCACAATCATCCATGTAGCAATTGCACGACATGCGGCGACCAAGATGCACCTTGTCTTGTGAAGAAACAACAAAGACTCGCACGGACTCAAGACAAAGCTCACGTGGTTTTGCAGCGAATGAGCCTGCCAATCATTCTGTCTGAGACTGTGTTTCGTTTGCCGAGCAAGTTGCATCAAGGCATGAGTGTGAACCCTGCTTAAAAACTGGGGGTCAAAGACTGGCAGCCGGCCTGCATGCAAAGGTGGCGCTCGGCAGGGCGCACATAATGCTGGCATACGCCGGTCCCTGCCAAGGCCCTCCACCAGAAATGGGTGCCACTGGCTGCATGACGCAGCCAGGCCATCAAGAGCCTCTGGCACCTCAACCACTGTGGCTCATACGGTCAGCGCCACAACCTTAGTGCCCGCCGTTCCGAGAGCAAAGTTTGTGTAACCCGTGCCGCTGTACAGCACTCCGTCCACAATTGCCGGGCCGCACGCGCTGCTTGCCCCGAGGTCGTAGCTTCCCAGCAGCTTCCCATCCGTCGCCCGGAGCATGAACAGCCGCCCGGTGGGGTCCATGCTTGCGTAGGCCAGTACACCGTTTGCCACAGTGATGGGGGCCAGGCTCTTAGCGTTGCGCCCAGACTGGTCCAGCGCCGGGTTGGCAAACGTCCAGCGGACGGTCCCGTCCCACGCATCCAGTGCAACGCACAGGCCGCCGTTTGTGGAAGCTGGAGGGGCCTTCTCGCCCTTGACGTTCGGGACGGGCTTCAGGTACGCATCGGCGCCCTGAAAGTCGATCTTGGCGTTGCCCTGGTTGTTGTTGCTGACATACACCAGCTTGTTGTCACTGGCGCTGCCCCACCTGCCATGAGCATGGCGTAGGAAGGTCGGAGGCGGCAGGACGGGGGCTTCATCAAGCTTAACATCGAAGTATGTTTCCGTGGTCACAGCTGCTGGCAGAAGCAGTGTGGATGACAGCAGGGGGCGATGGCGGCTGGCATGCAAACACGCACAAGCAATAAATGCAAGCAGCAGGAGGTCAGATGCAGCAGAGCGGCGCTTGATGCGGCGACTCACATGATGCCGCCGATGAGGCCTCCCGGCCCAGCCCGCTGATTCCAGGCGATGCTGCCGTCCTTGGGGTCCAGGGCCCAAACGATGCCGGACTGCGTTTGTGATCATGAGGACGTAAGGCGGCGGGATTGATTCAACACATGGAGGGAAGGGCAATCGTGCTGCATGTGTTCATGCATCTGTTAGCAATCAAATGGTGCGGGTCATTGCCAGGTCGTGGTTACCTTCTGGCCAACGATGAGCAGCTGCTTGCAGCCCTTGCCGGGCTTGCAGGGCGTGACCAGCATTGGAGCCTGGCCGAACTGCATATGCAGGTGCAAGTTTGCGACGTGTTGGGGCACGCGGCTGCGAGGCGGGCAGCATTCATGCCCCCCAGCCAGGGCACATCGAGGCGCCACTGCTGACAGACTCATCCATGCATCTCACACAATCAAGAACGCTGACACTGCAAGCATGTTCAAAACTTGGCGCAGCGCAAGGCCCGCTGCTTGGCCACATAAGCACTCACATCAAAATCGGGACCCTCCACTGCGGGGCAGTTGTCGTTCACCGCTGGGTTGTCAGAGAGGCAGGCAGCATTCCAGGCGTCCGGGCCATCGACGGGTGTCGCCCACTTGACGGCGCCCGTTTTCATGTCCAATGCAACAATCTGAGATGGTCCACGGGTGCGCAGATTCGAGGTAAGCGGCAGTGAGAGCGAGGCGGCGGGCGTATACGAGCCAGCAGCTAGCGCCTGGCAGCCGCGCAGGCGACTCGATGAGGAAATTGAGCCAGCTGGCTGCCAGCCGTCAAGCATGCTGACGCTCTGGACGCCCACACCCTGATACGCGGGGACGCTGTGGAGCGAGTAACAAAAAGCAACAAAACACACGCACCGCGTTGTGGTAGTTGTCCTCGCCGCCTTCCAGCTGCAGGCAGGCCTTCTGCTGGGGGCTGTTGGCCGCCGTCAGGGGTCCCAACGCTAGCAGGCACTCTTCCACCTCCTCGGGCATCCTGAAAAGGAAGGGAGCCCAGGGGTCGTCCGTTCAAATGCGAGGCACTCGTTCTCATACGGTGCATGAGCAGCCAGGCATGGATGCAGGGCTTGATCTTGCAAGTGCTCCTGGTCAGCTGCTTGCTGTCCTGGCGCCGAGCTGGCCCAGTTAGGTGGGGTGGCAATTCAACACAACTGCGGACGTGCTGGTGTAATTGATCGCAGGTGGCCTTGATTGGGGCCACCTAAGGGGGCCAGCTGGGGGTGCGTGTGTGAATGCCTTGGACGCATGCTGCGCAGCGCACACGCACCCGTAGTTGTCGCCGGTGGCGATGATGACCTGTTGGCGCTGCCTGTCCACCACGGGGGCGCTGCCCTGCAGTGGCAGCAGCGGGCAGAGTCGGCAGCACCAGCACCAACGCCTTTGTTTGATTTTGCAAATGAGCAAGGACAAGACGCACAGCCTAAACAAGGCACTCGCAGAAAGATATGCACCATTGCATGCCACCATTGTGCCCACTCTCGCAATAGAGCGTGGATCAGTCGACACGTTGACTGGCGCTCGCAGCGCTGCGCACCCATACGGCGGCGCCCGACCAGCTGTCGTTGGCGCGGCCGCCGTTGTCGGGGGTGGTGAAGGTCTGCCAAAGAATGTTGCCGGTCTGCACGTCCAGCGCGGCCACGCTGCCTCGGAATGTGCAGCATACGTAGGCTTGGCCTGCGGGGCCAGGGGTGAGGGGTGGCAGGGTGCACACGGAAACAAGGAGGGCGAAGGGAGGTTGGGGCAGGCCTGCAGGTGCCGTTGCAATATCCACATAGCAGGCGCCGGCCGCAGGCCGCCAGCAATAATCCGCTTTCACGACAACAAATGCATCGCTGGCGCAGGTTGGGCCGTTGCTGTGCGGCTGTGACTACGCCGCGCTTGCTGGCCATGGCTAAGGCAAAGCCACGCAACAGAGCGCACCCGTCGCCGCGCGTCCAGCCCGGCGGGGCATGCGCGGCAACTGGTCAAGGCTCACGTGATGCGACATTCTCCTCGAGGCTGCTGACTCCTGTGTATAGGACGCCCTCATACAGGGTGGGGCTGGTAGTAATGACCGCCGCAATGTTGGTGTCCGCGCGCTTGCCCCACACCTGGGGTGCGTTGCCCATGCACCGAGTTGGTTGCGTGTGAGAATTTCAGAGAGGCGCGGTGGGCATTTCTGCATGCAGGAGACCCGGTAAAGGTGCGACCAGCAAGGAGCAGCTGCCAGGCGCAAGGAGTTGAGAGAGAGGGTGCACATTTCCCTGCCCTCATAAGGTGTTTAAAGTGAGTTGATTCTTGGCGGTGGAGGTCATGATGTAAATGAACATCAGCAAACACAGAATAGGGTTGGCGATGACCTGTGTCTGCTTAATCCCATGCCGGCGCTTGAACATGCGACCCACCAAGGCGCCGTCCGAGGCGCGGAGCGCGAGCCAGAAGGCGAAGCCCCCGTAGACCGCCTGCATGGTGCCGATGATCACCAGCTCGCTGTTGTGGATCACAGGGCTGGTCCTGGACATGATCGGGAACACAGCCGTGTTGGCTGCAGGGGAGGGATTGGGGTGGGCGGTCGAGGGGGTGGGGGTGGAGCCGTTGATAGCAAATGGAGGGCGCACGGGGCTGCAATAGGGCATTGGCCACATCGTGTGCCGCAGTGGCAGGCACTCAGCCGCCAGTCAGGGCAGCGTTTCCAGCTGCAGGAGGCCACTTTGTGTGCTCGGCAGGAGGTGGCCTTTTATACTGATAGCTGCCCCCGGGGCTCCCGCAGGGTGGACGGAGCAACCTCGCTAGATCCAACGCGTTGCTCAGCGCGCTTGTTTCAACTGCCTACCGGGCAATGGGACGCCGAGCTGGGTCATGTAATCTTTGACCTGCTTTGACCAGACCACCTCCCCTGTTTCAGCCTTCAAACAGAACATGTTGCCTGGCAGCGGGGACCGGGTGGGGGTCGTCCAGTATGGGCAGCACGTGAGGGGTTGCCAACAGCTAGGTATCCAGACGCTGGCCTGCAAGGGGCCCCTTGCAGCCCTGGGGCGGCTGGGCAGGATGCAATGTATCGCATCGTAGTGTATCGTGTCCGCCAGGAAGTGGTCCATCTCAACGAGCCTCAGGTGGGTTGTGAGTCGGAATGCGCACGCAGCCAGCACAAGCATCTAGCAGTCGCCCCTCCTCTTCCCCTGGATGGCTAGTCTTGCAGATCCCCGCCGCCCCCACACCTTCCCAATCAGGCACGTAGACGAAGCCGCCATGGACAGTGGGCGTGGCGCTGGTGCTGCCCGCAACATTTGCCTCCCACTTGACCTTGAGCTTCCCGGCCTTGGCCACTGTGAGCTTCTTCTCGGCTTGGTTCCAGCGGCGGTTGCTGAGGTCACCGCCCCAGTGGCTCCAGGCCAGGCGGTCTGCGCCGTGCAGGAGCGGTCAAGGGTGCATGCGGGCTAAATGGCCCTTTTAGGAGCTTGGTGCTGGCAGGACGCGCCCTGGCGGTCAGGGCATGCATGCGCCGACCGTTCAGTGACAGTTGTGGTGTACATTGCTAGCAGGGAGGCAGGGGTTGCCGCAGAGCCAATGTGTCGACGTGATGCGGGGGCCGACTGCTGAAGCCTTGACAAGTTGGCGTGATCAAGAAAGTATGCCCCTTGAGCGCCGCGCAGCCAGCTCACCGATGCACTCGCTCTGCTCGGCGTTGGCGGTGAACGGGGCCTGGCACTTGACGCAGGCGGTTGTGGTTGAGCCACCCGGGCTCACGTGGTTCTTGGGGCAGCGCGTGCAGCTTGTTTTCTTCATGTAGTGGCCGGGCAAGCAATCTTCAGGTGGAGATTGGGGGTGAGAGGGCAGAGTTTGGTGTACAGCACTCGCGGTGGACAGGGGCACAATCCAGGGCTGGCCGCTCGCCGGCTGGCTGCGCCTTAATCGTCGCTGCTATGTTTGCAGGCGCTGAAAGCTCCGCAGAGACAAACAACTGATCTGCTCTCAACATAATGCTCACCGCAAGTGCCTGTTGAATTCGTCAGGTAGGCCTTAGCTTTGCAGACGCTGCACTTGCTGGGGTCGCCCGCGACGCACTTTTGGCACCCTGCCACTTGGCACTTCACGGCCTGCAAACGCGGAAAATCGCATGTGCCTGCAAGATTTGCACTGGAAGGGGCAATCCCAACCTTCGATCTCAAGCAATCCCACAGGTGGAAGCTTGTGCCCCCTGACCCGTGCACAGTCAGACTTCACAGCTGGCTCCCCTCACCAGGACACCTCGGCCATGGGGCGAAGAGACCGCCAGGACCCCCGGCTGCTGCACCGGCACGAGCGCATGGGCGTAGACAGCACCCAACAAAGCAAGTATCAAAGTTTTCATCGGGAGAAGCTCTCTGTGGCGGCCCGGACTCTGGGAGGAGGTTGATAATCGAATTTGTTCAGGCTCCCGGCGATCGCGAAATGAACGATGCACGAGCCACCCGAGGATCAAGTGCATGCCGCGATCGAAGATTGATCTACGTAGGCCAATGTGACCTCTTTTGGCGGCCGGGGTGACCCAGCGTGGCCGGCACACGCCCCGGGCACACGCTGAGATGTCGGCACACGCTGTGCGCACGCCTCACCTGCTTCTAACATGTATAAGAGTTTAAAGTTGCATCTCAATGCTATAATCTCCCGAAATCACCCGCACTCGTAAAGTGCTGACTCCACATTCGTCACCCCTACAGCCGCCGCTGGCCCGCTCACCCGTGAAGATGCATCTCCGGCTGCTGCCCTGCGTTTTGCTGCTTGTAATGGCGGCCCGCATGGCATCTTCTCACCAGGGTGAGCTTGGGGGAGAAGGCTTATGCCGAGCTTCTTTGCAGGCCGATTGCTGTCGGCCCTTTCCAGTCAGCAGCCAACGATTCACCCTTGCATGCTCCTTGAACCCTACCCACAGTCAGCGTGACCGCATTACCCGGTGTTACCGATTCAGTACCACTGCTGGTGATTCAAACTTTCAAAACGACCCCTCTACTCACTGCCAATCTCCGCTCCTCGCCCCTGCCTGCTCGGCTGCTGCTGATCGTTTGTGCAACAGGCCGCCGCCTTGTGCAGGTGGAGGCACAGGCGGCGCCGGCTATCACGTGCTCACACCCGTGCGGCTGCGCGTTTGGCGTGGACTATGGAGAGGATCTCTGCACGTACGCCAACACCACCCAGGATGTCAGGTTGCTCCAGGTGGGCTGCGCCTCAGGGCGGTGCGTGGGCGCGGCGAAAGGCAGGTGGCGAGGTTCCCAGCTTTTTAAGCAACAGCGCCTGTGCAGTGAATGCAAAGAAAACATTGCACAGTCTTGAATTTTTACACTGCCTTATTGCACCAGCAGGCGGCCACCCCAACCATGCACCCCTCTGTTCGCTGTTAATTCTCTTCCTCTCCTCGCCCGCCCTCCGTTGCGCGGCCGGGCCTGTGGTTTCATTCACTGCTGCGTGCAGGCAGAGCTGAACAAGCCTGACGCAGACTTCACGACTGCGCTGGACATCTACAACAACGCCCGCATCGCAAAGCGGCCCGACGGCACTCCCCGCACCATGTGAGACGTAATGACGCACGTAATCAATGGGAATCATTTACAGCAACTAAAATGCATGCAGACGTGCAATTGCAATTGTCCTGCGGTGCAGGAGCGACAGCAGGAGCAAAATGTTACCGCGTTTGAAGCTCAGTGAGTCTGTCCTTCCTCCTTCCTCCTGCTTCATCCCCCTGCCTGCCACCAACCATGCCAACAGGGTGTCTGTCACCAAGCGCAACTACAGCCAGGAGGCCTTTTACGCCCTCTCATCCTCGTACTACAAGAAGCAGTTCTACCTCGATGACGTGTTCGGGTGAGCGGGAAGCGGGCCGCTGACCCTGCAAAACCCGAGGGGTGGTATCGCGGCGCTTGAGCCAGCTGCTGCCAGCAGGACGGGTTGGCTGCCAGCAGCAGCCCACCACCTGCAGCATGCACGAACAGAGCTGTTGACATGCAGGCCCTCGGTTTTCGTACTGTTGCATATGTATCTGCCCAGTTTAATTTCTGCAGGTTGTGATCTTGATGGCATGCGTGTCTTTCAAACCCGCTCCTCACCCTCCATATGATACTCCACACTTCCCTCGCAGCGCGGCCCTACGCGGTGACGGCGACTACGCCGGCGCATGCTGCGGCGTGCGCGCCGAGGTCGCGATTGCAGGGTCGCGCTGGTTTGCTGGCGCATTCGCAATGCACGAGGTCAACGCCGGCCAGTGCTTCGCCACCGGCTGCAACGCCCGCGCCATCAATCTGCCACTGGCGGGTGAGTGGGGTCGCCATTGCTCAAGGCTTGGATGTTGGTGTGCGCGCTTTTGATGAAACCAGCGCCCCTCTCAGCGGCCGGTCACCAACCTGCCAGGGCATGATTACGCGCCAGGTCACCTTGCTGCTCGTCTTGGTTGTTGCCATGCTGCCGCACTCCAACAACGTGTCCCTCCTCTGCCACGCCACTCCTCCCCCTCCCCATTTCCAGCCGAGGAGATTCTGCACGGCATGGCCATCCTGACAGCCGCAGACGGCACATCAGCAAAGGCCCCCAAGGCCCCCAACGGCACCGCCAACCCCACCACCCTCTTCCAAGTCACAAACACCATCGGCAAGTTCTACTGCACCTTCTCTGCCTCCAAGAAAGAGCCGCTCTCGCCCGTCAACCGTGCGACTGTGACCGCCTCTCAGGATGCCAGCGCCGCTGCAGCAGCCGGCAACCTGCCGGGCCTGGCCACGCACTACGAGGCGATTGAGAAGGCCTTTGTCGCGCGCTTCCTGCAGTACAGCCTCAGGAGCGCCTACGACGCCTCCAAGACCGCCTCAAAGGGGCTGCTGAAGAAGTCGGGCGCCTGCCGCTCTCCCTGCCTGCGTCTGGCGCAGCAGGCCGCGGCGCGCACCTACTTCCGCGCCGCGGAGCCCATCATCGCCCGCACCAACCCCGACCTCGTCGCGCGGGTGGGTGGGGCCAAGATGCAGAGGGCACAGGCGGCCGATACACTTGCGGCTGCCTTCTTGGACGAAACATCCGCACACATCTGAATCAGAAGGTTGGAGACATTTTGTGTGCCAGCCAATCACGCAGGTCTGCTCCACACACGACACAAATACCCTCCCTGCTGTCAGTCCACAACCTTCGACCCAGTCACGCACCCCTCCTTGACCCCTGCTTTCCAACCCCCTCGCAGGCCAACGCCATCCTGACCGCGCCCAACCCCCTCAAGACGTACAAGGACCTGGTGCTGGCCTACCAGGCCATTGCCACAGCCCTGGGGCAGGTGGGGCGGGCTCGCAGGGTGCTGCTGGGTGGCTCTCCTGGACTGCAGCAGGCATTGGCGGTCCCTGCATGAAGCGAACTCCGTCAGCGGAGAGCAGGGGCCGGCGGGCTGAACATCGTGCGCCCTAACGCAGGCTGGCCGGCTTGGTGCTGTCGCTGCTGCTTGAGTGTACGCCGCTGAGCTGATTCCCCCTTTGCTTGTTTGAGCCCTGTAAACACCTGTCCCATTACTCATCCCCCCCCTCCCCGCAGGATACCAAGAAGCTTCTGCTGAAGTGCAAGACCAAGTGATTCAATCCAAATGCATCCACATGGGGTGTGTTGACCGTGGGGGATACAAGATGAAACGATGCACTGGGGTGTGATGTGGCAGCGCAAGCCACATACTACCTGGTATGCGGTATGTAAGTGGATGCTTGGGGGTTTACGCGCGCTGCTTGCGGCGTGGGGGCGTAAATGAGAAAATCCGCTTAAGTTGGCTGCCGCTGCGCTGCAATGACCCACACGTGGCGCGCATGGCAAGGCACACGCAGCTAGTGGTCAAATCACAACAATTGCCACACTTTTGGGCGGTAGGGGGGTCAGCATTCATGCGTTTTTCTTGCGCTGTCACTTGTTATTCTGCAGCGCGTCGCTCGCTCCCGCCGTGCTGTACAGACCCGGGGCTTGCTCCATGCGCGTTTGGATGAAACTTGGTTTTGAGTCTTGCCTCCCACACATGCATGCACGCAACAGTGCTTTTCGACTTTGATGGCCCCCAATTTCTGGGCTGCCTGCACCATCGCCATATTTTTTGCAATCGCCGGGCGAAGGCGAACACATGCCTCTCCCGAGACTCGTGCCCCCAACAACACAACCGTGACGCTAGCCCACAGTGGTGAACTGCTCTGTGCCTAGTTGACGGCTCTGGTTGGATGCCTGCGTGTCCATTCTGCCCTGGTAACATTTTTCAACGGATTTGTGTGCGGCACTCGCACTGTTCACGTGAAGCAGGTACAACGGTTCAGGCCAACACACATACACACCCATTTCTCGCTCAGTCGAAGGGAACCTCTAACAGCATGCGTTGGCAGCAGCCATGTGGTGCAGGTGCACAGCTCCAATGCAAGCAATACAGCAAGCTACAAGACTGCGGGGGCTTTGGTAATGCCTGAGGCGCAACACGCAGGTAGACAACATTCCTGACCTGTGAGAGGTGGCTTGAGGACAGATCATGTGCGAGTGCAGAGGGACGCCCTGAATACAGGGGAGCCAAGCTCAACCTATGTGATGCCTGATGCACGGAGAGCCTGCGATTGCGGACTGTGTGGATGTTTAAAATCTCACGACAAGCAAGAACGCCACTTCAGGACATTGCTGTCATCATCATGCAGGAAGAGTTGACTGTGAAGACTATGAATGCCGATCTCAAACGCTTGCCATCTCGCGATTTTCTAAAGCGGTACGTACGGCCAATGCTCCTATGCACCCAACACGTGCATGACTGCACAGAGCTGTCCCGCTTGACCAGCAGCTGCAGGTCGTGATGGTGATCTGCGGTGCACCGCCAGTGCATCGTTGAGCACCGACCAGACTCTATGATGCTGGGCCACTCCCGAATGCACTTTCTCATCATATTGAGGGCGCCGGTCCGTTCCGCAGTGTAACGTACCGGGATACACAGTAGCATTCGATCCACCGCGCATGCAGTCTACTCTGTTCGGGAGCATGGATTACATAGCTTAGCGTCTAAGCAACTGTATGTCAGCGATCAGACTCGCATGCCTCGTGCTGGCGCTGCTGGTGCCGCGCCCTGCGCTGAGCGACGCGCGCCCGACGCTGCGCTTCGCGCATGGCGGGACCTTCAAGCTGGTGCAGTTCACCGACCTGCATTTGGGAGAGAAGGCAGATCTTGATTGGAAGAGCAGAGAGGCGCGCCCCGCTCGCCCGCCGGACCCTTTCACGACGCCGCCGTTGTCCAGTGCCGCCCCTGCGAGCGACGCGGCGCCGGGGCGCCCAGCCACACTCACGCAAACACAAGAAGCGACGGCTGCGCAGGCAACGTCGCCGTCCCCCCACGTTACTACCACTGCTGCTGCGCTGGGTTGCCGCCACGCCCGACCGGGACGCTTTCATGCAAGCCTCTCCTCCGCCGCCCCCGCGCGCAGCTCATCACAACGGTGATAGAGGCCGAGCGGCCACAGCTGGTGGTGCTGAGCGGTGACATCGTCAGCGGCGCGTTCTGGGACGGCAGGCCGGGCTGGGCGGAGGCCGCGTGAGCCGGGGCCGCTGCGCCATTGCTTCTGATGCTGCCATGTCATGCAACAACGGTCATTTTTGTTGCTTGCTGACTGGAGCCCAGCCGCTCCAAGAGCGCCCGCGCAGGACAAGGGGATGCGAGAGGCGGTAGCGGCCGTCTCAACTGAACCACCTCCGCTCTGTCGCTCCCACCCCCCTGCCGCGTCGCCGGGGCCCGCTGCCCGCTACGCATTCGGCTAGCCCTGTGCTCGCCCGCCTTCCTTCAACACCACACACTTCAAATCACGCGCGGCCCCGCTGCCTGCCCAGGTGGCGCCCGCTGGCAGATCTGCTAGCGCGCCTGGGCGTCCCCTACGCCGCGACCCTCGGAAACCACGACGCCGAGGCAGATCCGTCGAGGCGCAATCTGGCTGCCTTGTTTTCGAGGGACCCGCCCTCCCTCACTCGCCTGGGCCCGGATGGCGTGACCGGGGCGACGAACTACTGGCTGGATGTCCTTCCACCTGCCGCCGGCGACATCGGGGACGGAAGGGGCAGTGATGGCGGTGCGGCGGATGTGAGCGGACGCGGGTGGGACGAGAGCGGCGGTGCGGGGCCGGGGCCCGCGGCAGCAGCGGTGGTGGCGGCGCGAGTCTGGCTGCTGGATAGCATGCGGCGGACGTGCGAGGGGGCGCGCGGCTGGTGAGTGCGGGAGGGCTCAGCTGCAGCTGGTCGCTTATGGGGCCACGCTCGGCCCGCGCTGGGCGGCCCCGTGCGCGGCAGGAGCCGTTGGCAGTCAAGCCGCCACCCTGGGACGGAGGGCGCGTGCGAGGTTGCTGCCCAAAACGCACTGCGCTGCTGTGGCACGCCGAGATTGGACACCCCACCCTGCCACTGCGCCCGTGGCTGCGTCAGTCAGCTGCTCCTGCAAGCACCTGGGCCGCCGCAGGCAGCTCGTGATGAAACCAAATCACCAACATGGGCTCCCCCATCATCATGCCGCCAGGGGCTGCGTCGGCAGGGACACGCTAGAGTGGGCGCAGGCGGCGGCGGCGGCGCTGCCCGCTGCCCCAGGCGTCGCTTTTGTGCACATCGCCCCGCCGGGTGGGCTGGCTGGTGGCCGGCCGGCTATACTTGATTCATGGCTCCATGGACGAAAAGGGCACTGGACAGGCCAGCAGCGGCATCAGGCCACAGGGGCGTGATGCATGATGCAGCCGGGGCGTGGCGTCACTGGCAGCCAAGGATGGGCACCGGACGGCTGCCGCGCTATTCAGCAGAGCGCAGGCGCCGCGGCTGCGGCGGCGGGACGCCTCCCCACTTTCAAAGGGCACTGACGGCCGGCCGCCCGGTGCTGAAGATGCTTCCACGCGGTGATGCTCGCGCCCGTTGGTGGTGATCGCGCAGCCTCGGTTGCCGTCCAACCCCCGCCCGCGTGCGCACCCCGCCCCTAACGGGCTGCCCTGCACCGTCCACTCCCCCAGAGGCGCTCGCCCTTTGGAACGGCGGCCCCACGCGTGGCGGCAAGGGGGAGGCCGTCGGCTGCTCCAGCCGCAACAGCGGCCTGGTCGCGGCGCTTAGGGCTTTCAATACAACTTCGGTGTATTTCGGCCACGACCACGACAACGATTTCGTGGGGGAGCTGGACGGGTTTAGGCTGGGGTATGGGTGAGGCGCGGACGCTGCGGGTGACGCTCGGGTGACACGCGGGTGACCCTCTGGTGACGCACTGGTGATGCAGGGGTCCTGCGCACGCATGTTGAGAGGCAGTGCAGCAGGGCAGGCTCGTGGCGTTGGGAGGCTGTGCCGCGCCTCGCGCTGCTGCCGGCTGCGGCGCGCTTCACGGCGGGCCCGCTCTGACCGCCGCGGGCGGGGCACGTGTGCAGGCGCGGCCCGCTAATTAACAGCGCAGCTCCAATTAAAAGCCGCTGTGCGGGCTCATGAGATCCTACCCCACACGCATCGGCTGCCAATGTGCCCGCGAGGCGCTCCTGCCGCTCGGCAAGTCCAGGAACCCTGCGCGCCCCTTGGCTTGCAGGCGCAAGAGCGGGTTCGCTTCCTATGGCCCGCCCCCCGGCTGGCTGCGCGGCGCGCGGGTCGTGCTGCTGCGGGAGGGCCAGGACACCGCGCAGGCAGAGACCTGGCTGCGGCTCGAAGACGGCAGCAGAGAGGACCAGACGGCGAGCGCCAAGGGCGGCGGCAGGAGCGTCGGCGGCGCCGGGGCGCCGGCCGCGCAGCGGCGCTGCGACAAAGGTGGGTGCTATCCCATGCATGGGGGCGGCCGCGCGGGCGGCCTGTACGGCCTATGGCTGCGTGCGAGTTTGGGGCATGGCAGGCGGGTGGGGCCGGGTGAACGTGCGATGCAAGTGGATGTGCACGGCCCTCTGTGCACATCCTGCAGACTCCCCGCAATAGGGCAGTCGTATGCATTGAGCGGAGCGGTGCGTGCCCGAGCCACGACTTCCCTCTGCTCTTGCATCGTCATTGCGCCCGCCCGCCCCTGCCGGCAGGCAACCCCACGCCTCCAGCCCTCCAGGCGCCTCCCCTTGCCTCTTCACATCCGTTCGCGCCGGCATGGCGCTGACCCGCCCCATCTCATGCAGGCGCAGACCCGGCCGAATTCATACACGACGCCCTCATCGACGCCCCCTTGCTGCTGGTGCTCGCCGCCGGCGTCAGCTACCTGTACTGGCGCCGCCGGCGCGGCCGCGGCGGCGCCCACGGCCCCTCACGGGTTCCGGCCCCGCAAGCGCGCGGCCCCAGGGCGGCTCCGGCCGCCGTGGCGGCGGGCGTGGGCGTGGAGTACCAGGGGGTTTCTGGCAGCGCCGCGGATGAAGAGCCGTGGCAGCGGGCCGGCTGGGCGCGTGGGGCGGAGTCAGAGCTTGGTTTGGGCAGCAGGGCGGACGAGCCGCGTGGCGGGGCGGGTGGGGCGGGGCCGAGCCTGCCAGGGCGGGCGGCGCCGCCGCGGCGCTCAGGGGCGGCGTCGCCTCCTGGGTCGTGATACCCTGATTGGATGTTGATGAGGTGGCGCTGTATCATTCTGTTCTGTATCTTAAAGATATTATGTTCTGTAC